CTGTTAAATGAGTGAGTCGGTGTTGTAGGGCTTAAGACGAGAAACGTGGACTACTTTTATTCTGGGTGTAGGAGCTGATGAGTTTGTGATCACGGAAATCTCATAGGTCACAGGTGTGACCTGATGGAGGACGCGGTAGGGCCTGACATATCGCGATAGTTGTTTCTCGCAGAGGCCAACACGTCGAGATGGGAGCCAAAGGAGAACAAGAGAGCCCGTAGAAAAAACGGTATTTCTGTGTCGACTGCCTAAAGAAACTTTTGTGCTGTCTGCGACGACGACAATCGATCGCTGGCTACCGAGCGTGCCACGAGGGCCCGGGTAATGGCATCCTGGGCGTACGAAGTGGAGGATGGTTGGTCAGATGAAAGCAGGGTGTCGAAGGGCAGTAAGGAATGACGCCCGAAAAGTAGATGAAATGGTGAGTAGCCAGCTGTTTCATGACGCGACGAATTGCAGGCGAAGGTGACGAACGACAGAGCTATGTTCCAATCAGTGTGGCCGCTAGATACATACACAGAAAGCATGTCTGTCAATGTGCGGTTGAGGCGCTCCGTAAGGCCGTTAGTCTGAGGGTGGTAAGATGTGGTGAAGTTGTGACAGGTAGCACAAGATCGAAGTAGATCATCAACCACATGAGATAGAAAGTAGCGACCGCGGTCGGTGAGCAGGTGGGACGGAGTGCCATGCTGAAGAATGATGTCTTCAGCATGGCACTCCTAACACTGCGATTTAGAGCGTCCATCATACGTTCAAATGTCGTAGAGCAGTAAGTCCGCAACGTCAGTTGCGCAGCTGGTAGGTAGCCCGCAAGTGATCGCATACCGAGTGGCATGATCTGTGGCCACCCTGCAATCAATTTCTTTCCAGTTGTTGAAGTGGGAAAGGGACCTAGCAAATCCAACCCCACTCGATAAAACAGCTCGACTGGGACTTCAATGGGCTGAAGGAGACCGGCAGTGGGAGTCGTAGGCTTCTTTCAGCACTGGCAGAGATCACAAGATGCAACCTAACGGCGAACGGAGCGATAAAGACCCTTCCAGAATACCCGTCGTTAAACACAGTCGTAGGTTCTGGAGACGCCTAAACGTCCTGAAGTTGGAGCGTTGTGAAATTGTCGCAGAATATCCTTGCACAAGTGATGTGGTACGATGAGAAATAGTTCTGCACCGTTGTGGTGTAAGTTGCAGCGGTACAAAATGTTGTCTTGGAGCCGGAATCTGCGAAGTGAAGGGTCAGTATGGTGCGATTGAAGGTGGTCAATGACGGAGAGCAGCGATGGACCTCGGCGCTGTTCGTCCACCACGTGCACAAAGTGAGTGATGGCTAAAACGCAGGCATTGGATTCTAAATCAGTGGAGTTAGATGGATCAATATGGTGTCGGAATAAGCAGTCAGCATCGCTGTGCAGCTTTCCAGATTTGTACACAACCGAGAACGTGTCCTCCTGTAATCGTAACGCCAATCGGTCAAGTCCTCCTGTAGGGTTTTTAAGTGTTGAAAGCCAGCCAAGCGCGTGATGGTCTGTGATGACTGCGAACGTCAGTATCAGTACAGACAGAATTTTGCGATGGCCCAGACGAGGGCTAAGCCCGCTCAGTGATGGAATAATTTTTTTTTTCCGCTTGCAACAGAAGCCGACCAGTGTAGGCTATCACACGGTTGGTGCAATTCTGTATCTGAGCAAGTATAGCACCAATGCCATGGCCGCTTGCATCGGTGCAAAGCTCTGTTCGAGCAGCTGGATCAAAGTGAGTAACACAGGTGGTGATGTGAGGGCGGTAATCAGTGAAGCGTAGGAATATTCTTGGTCCTCACCCCAAGAATAAGCCACATTCTTTTTGAGGAGATCCGTGAGGGGCCTTGCAATATTCGCGAAGTTGATGACAAAGCGGCAGAAGATGAGCAGAGCCCAATAAAACTGCGAGCTTCTTGTGTGGAACGCGGATCCGAGAATTCACGGACTGCACGGACTTTGTCAGGGTCGGGTTCGACACCAGCGGCTTCAACAAGGTAGCTGAGCAGCTTAATCTGCCGGCGTCCAAATGTGCATTTCGACTAATTGAGTTGGAGGCCGGAGCAATGAAAAACGTCAAGAATTGCCGAGACGAGGCAGGTGGCTTTCAAATGAAGGTGAGAAAACGATTACATCGTCAAGATAGCAAAGGCAGGTCGACCATTTGGAGCCACTACATCGTCCGGGTAGCAAAGGCAGGTCGACTATTCAAAACCGCGCAGAAGAGCGTCCATCATACGTTCAAAAGTAGCCGGAGCATTGCACAACCCAAAAGCCATGACCTTAAATTGGTAAAGGCCGTTGGGTGTGATGAATGCTCTCTTCTCGCGGTCGCGATCATCGACCGAAATTTGCCAGTATCCAGATCGAAGGTCAACTGACGAGAAATACTTGGCACCGTGGTGGCAGTTGAACGCATCATCGATTCGAGGCAGAGGATAAACGTCCTTCTTGGTGATCCGATTCAAGTGGCGATAGTCGACGCAAAAGCACCAGCTGTTGTCCTTCTTTAGACAACGGGGGATGCCCAAGGACTCAATGAAGGCTTGATGACGTTTTTGCCAAGCATTTTCTCAACCTCCCTTTAAATAACTTGGCGCTCAGCACGAGACGCGCGGTAAGGGCGTTAGTGGAGTGGACTGGCATCGCCGGTGTTGATGCAGTGGGATACGGCACTTGTACGGCCCAGGGGACGGTCTTCGACGTCAAAGATATCCAGGTAAGAAAATAGAACATCCGGGAGTGCTGCAACTTGGGAAAGTGAGAGGTCGCCAGATATCATTTTGTCGAGGAACGCCTTATATTGTGGGGTGATGACAGGTTTTGCCACGGTCTTGTGTCAGGGGTGAGAGAAGAAATCGAACATTAATCCAGGGTGGAAAGTTCGGCTAAAGTGATGCTTGAGGAAAAACTTGGGTTGGCGTAGAGAAGTTCAGAACAGTAGCGTCGTGTTGTTAGTAACAACCACTATGGTATGTAGTTGTGTGACGTGGTGCGTAAGGGTCAAATCAATGAGGGGAGCCACCAGATAGTCTCCATCAGGAACGGATGGAAAGGGCGACATAGGAACGTACATAGCAGCCCGGGGCGGTACCCGTAGAGACTCCATGAATCGTAGGCGAGTGTGACTTGGAGGATTGAAATCGGTGCACAAAGGCAACTCAAGCCTTAAGATGCCGGCAGAACAATCGATGAGGGCAGAGTGGGCGGTTAAGGCTGACGCCGTGTGGGCAAGCATCAAGGACTGCGAAGAAAACGGAAGTGTGGTGGCCGGCAACAGTAACACGCATGCAGTGCAGATGCCAAGTATCGGTGCAACTGAGCTTCCGTTGGCCACTCGAACAGTAGAGAACATAGCAGGCGTGAGAACCTTTTTCAGGCGAAATCGAAGCGTAGAACTCATATGAGATATTTCAAAACCAGTGTCATTTAGAGCAGTAATGACAAGGCCATTAAGAAAAACTCGAAGTAAATTGCACCGTGAATTTGTAGCCGGTTAAGGGCTTTCTGTACGAGTCGTCAACGCAGCACTACCTCCACGAGACGTGACCTGCACTCGTCAGTTTCCTGGATGATAACCAGAATAAGCCGGTGACAGAGAGCGGCGGCATTGAGGAGAGTGCGACTGGCAACCTTGAGCTGACGGTAAGCTGCTAGACCAGTTTCTTTGGGCAACGATGTCAGCATAGGACAGTTCCGAGCGTGGAGATGAACGGCGAGGTGAATGGTCCTGAAGATGGTTATCCGGAACAGCGGGTTGCGAATAGTGTCCATGATCCTGACAGCAGTCATTAGGGAAGCTTGGCCGGGAATACCATCTGTTGCGGCAATGGCAGGAAATGCAGCAATGGCGGGAGATGTGCCCAACACGAGAGCAAGAGAAGCAGATGGGTCGGTCGTCTTGCGTGCGCAACTCAGTTGAATTTCGGTAGCGTGGTGGAAACCGAGAGAGAGCTGCCGCAGTGACAAGTGGAGCATCATAGCGGTCAGCGTTGAGGATGGGAGTGCTCATGGGCTGCCGCATGTGCCTGCCAGGCTGGGTAACCTGGACATCCAGGTTGGCAAACTCCTACGGTACGACGGCTTGAACAAGCGAGACTGTTGCCCAGTTGTCTTCCGCAGGGGGCTAATAGGAAGCGGGTGCCATGGCTTTCAGCTCCTGGCGAACAATCCTTGCGATATTGGCAGGAGGCGCAAGTGGACGGGGCGTTGCAGAATCCTCGCAGGACAAAGTCGCAGCAGTGTTAGGAAGTCTCGTGAAGTGGTGGGTTATTCACCTGCTTTTAGCCTGTTAAAATCGGCGGCATTCGGATATGATGAAGTCGACAGTGGTGCAGTTCTTACACATAAATATGTTGAAAGCATCGTCAGCAATGCCGTTCAACACGTTGCTGATCTTGTCTGCCTCCGTCATGTCTTTGTCCATCTTCCAGCACAGTGCCAGTACATCTTGGATGTAAACTACGTACGACTCCTATGATGATTGAACACGCGACGCAACTACCTGGCTGCCATCTGACGTGCAACTGAGCGACCAAACAAGTCCCGAAGCTTCTGCTTGCACACGTCCCAGCTGGTTAATTCTTCATGCGCCTCATACCAGGTGTGTGCCGTACCCCATAGGTATAAAAGAATATTTGCCAGCATAAGCGCCTCGTCCCACCTATAGTGCTTGCTAACGCGCTCGAATAATGCGAGCCATTCTTCGACGTCCGTGCTGTCCGTACCAGAAAACGTGCCAGGGTCGAGAAGATGGGAGGGGGGGGGGGAAATCACAGGTGACGGAGGCGAGGCCTGAGTGTCGGTTTCAGGCATTGCGGCTGGACAAAGGTGGCGTCCACTGCAAAGTTCCAAAGCTGGGTTGTGTGAAGACCCTGCACCTCCTACCAAAATCACCCTCCCTTCTACAAATATTACCCTCCTTTCTAACTGAGCAAGCAGCCAAATTCTTCTCTTGTGGTAACAGTAAGCATAGGTTATTTACCTGTTCTGGCTTTAGAACATTGTAGATCTCCTCATCCCTGAGAATGCTGCAAGCGGACAGAGGCACAGCCTGATTTTGAATTGCACGGGCAGCCCGTCCATGCACACGAAGAATTTCTTGCTCAGCTGATAACACCAACTTCTCCTGAAAAAGGAAAAGCACACATAAGCACATAAAATTTTCAGTGTTTATGCACAGCTTACCCGTTCAATCAGGTGCTGCAACCTCAATTTGTACCGTTCTCGTTCCTGGTCTAGAAACAGATCCCGCATCGGAGAGCCACTAAGAGACTGTGGCAGAGGAATCTAGGGAGTGAAGAAATGTAATGAGTTAGACAATGCCTCATCATAAACAAGCTGTACTCACTCGATATTACTCCCTAGGTATTTTCTGCACTCACTCGATATTAAGAAATAAACCAATAGCTTAAGGGCACAGGACAAGCCTTTGAGAATGTAGTAGGATAAATACTTGGTGCTATTTTTGAATAAGTATGTTCTTAAGTTTAGGATCAATGATGATGCCAGTGCTCTTCAACTTAAAACAAAAACAGGAAATATGAAACTTATTTTAAAATCATCAAAATAAATTACATAACTATAATGAATTTGGTTAAATTTGACCTGCGAGTTTGCTTGGTGCTGAACAGACCAATCTGATATCGTTTCTGGAAGCAACCTCTTTCAACTTTGGAAGCAACCTCTTTCAACCTGTGGAAGATGCCGTGTACGTACCGCTGTGAAAGAGAGTTGCACGACTCACCACACAAAGCAGAGTTTGCGACATCAAACATGTCAAGAAATACTGTACATGCGATATGTGTGGTGTATAGCATTCCATTTAGTTGCGATAAGCAATACATTGGACAATCTGGTCTATCTATCAACGTTCCTTTATGGGAGCATGAAAATCTTCTACCCTCTGGCACTGGTGGTAGCCTTCCGCTACATTGTAGACAGTGCAATTGTACACCCATGTCTGGAAATGTATCTCTTGGAAGTAAGGCTAAGACTCAACGTGAAAGAGAATTGCTTGAGGCCTACATCTGGAAGCTTAATCCGGAAAAGTGTGTAAGCGCTGCTTCTGTGTTTTTCACCCTGAAAGAGTGAAACTTTCTTGAATGGTGGTGGCTTAGATAGATCAGATAGGCACAGTGACCTAGTAGGGTGCTTTTTTGCGCATGCTCTGTATGGACTTAGGACGAAGCATTTTTCAAAATAAATGTCGGTTGTTAGTAGCCACTTCTGTGTTCACTGACTCTGCTTCTGTCTCTCGGCCTTTTAGTGGATTTTTCGAGTTTCAGTATGTACCAACCTGCGCAGCAAGCAACACCCTTGAACTATATGTTGTTTTTTGGCCACAATATACATTTTGAGGTATTTTGGTGACAGGCACACTGGGTAAAGATTGTTGGAGTAAGCCTAACGAAATTGTCAGTAGCAAAGAACTATGTTTTTCTAAGTTTCTCTCCAAAAAGCACACACACACACGTGTATTAGGTGTGCGCAGTTAGATCGGTGTTATGTATAAAAAAACATCTAATATGCTTGTGGTACTATGTCAAAGGCAATCACGCATTACTAACTAGCTTAATTATTTTTTTAAGAGTTAGATGGTTCTCCATACATGCGCTTGATTAGATGCGTACGGAGACTTTGTCTCTCCAATTGAAACAACGAAGAAGCACATCAACGTGTTCTTGCCTTCGCTAGTACGGCAACTCAACTTTGCATTAATAATGTTATTGTGAATAACTAAAACGTTGCGACTACCAATTCGCTGTCAATTAAGTAGCTGAGGTTATTGTGTATTTTATTTGTAAAGAAAGCAATAGAGATATCCTGCCCCTGGTGCATACTTCAAGCACTTAGTGAATTAAATCTTTTCGAACTTGCTATGCACCCACTACATGGCCTTGAGGGAATAGGTGCAGTAATTGGTGTGCCTACTGTAGTGGGTGACCAGCCATGAAGCCATTAAGAGTAATCACATGTTCTGACGCCACATCGCAATGTAAGATTGTACCACGCACTATTACTGCAATGTTTCATGTTGTAATGTGAAGTATGTATACAGGACGCGTGTGTTTGTGAAGGATGTAAGTTACTTATACCGCATTTTCAAACAGAGCAAGTTATTGTCACTGTATTCACAAGCATACAGTGGCTGTATGGTGGAACACAGCTAGCCAACCAAACAACCAAGGTTCAATCCTCACTCGGACTCAGAATTCTTTATTATTTATTTTATTCGCATCTCTGTTTATTTTTTGGTCGTGCGCAAGATTTTCGCTCACAACCAACAACGTCGACACAGACACTAAAGTTTCTGCGAAACGAGCTATTTAATGCGATCACCTTAAAATGGCGGAAACACTCACAACCAACAACGTCAACACAGACACCAGAGTTTCTACGAAACGAGCTCTTGTAATGCCATCACCTTAAAATGGCAGGAATGCTGGCCACACGACGGCAGGATATGACTTCCCAAATAGGGAGGATGAGTCGGATTACACCTTCATGCAGCGCAGTGCAAGCAGGTGCAAGGGCACATACCTTGCCATTATGCAGCACCCTCATCTCTAGTCGTGACCTCTCAGTCAACTTTTCCTTTCAAGCGCACGCTTTTGTTCAGGAGAGGATTTGGCAGACTGCACCAAAGAGGGGAGAAGGAGCAGCCGTGCCACCGCGATGCCACACAATGTGGCATACAGCAATGGTTTTTGGACATTGCTTTTTCCTTTTTCGGGCTCGCATGTGCCGCATGCCAAAAATGAAAGGAACTATGTGGCCACTTCTCAATGCACACAATGTGACAACATTCCTTCTTTCTAGCGGCTCTGTTACCACTGTTTACAAGCTTGGCTGCTAGGTGGCGAGCGCTCATTTTGAATAGCGAAATGACTCGAGAAAATGCTGCTTCCAACATGGATATGATAAATGGTACAGAGGTGGGTGCTAAATTAATGGTGCTTTGGATTTGAAACTTTGGCAGGACATCCAAAAAACTAGATGCCAAATATTAGCTTTCTTATCAATCCACTGCAACTGATGACTTCAATGTGGAAGTACCATAGTTACTCGCGTAATGAACCCTCTCGCATGATTAACTCCCCCCACTACTGTCTTGAAACAAAAAATCTACTTTTTAATGTATCGGTTCACTTTATTTCGGTGAGAAAGCCAGTGCCAATGACCATTAAAACAGCATTAAATCACACCATAATTCAACAACCATGATAAACAGTGGCGAGCAGCGCAAGCAACATCGATCAAAATTTATAAGACGCGTCTTTTGCGGCAGAGAACCATTTGTTGAACGTAGAAGAAACTTCTTATATCACCACGCAAGCACGGCGGCACGGAAACAAAGCAAAAAAAAAAAAGCGCAACCGTGCCTGCAACGTGCGTGTGCCACCATCCGCGCTTTTGTTGCCAGGTTTGTCCTAGTGGACTTCATTAGACACCTGCTGTGAAGGGCCCAATTGACTGATAGGCTAGCTACAGGGCCGGTTTTGAGGATAGAAAACTTGGCAGTCTGCAGTGCTTACGAAGAGAATTTCTTACCATAGGCACAGAGAGACGTGAGGAGGGATTTCCTTCCAGGACATAAGAGCCACGATTGAGAAGATAGTCCTTGAAACCCTGGGGTGGTTTCGGGTGCACTACAAGCATGGCCTGACGCCGCTTCTCCACTTGTTTGCGAATGTCCAGATACATCTGAAAACCATTGGTGACTGGCTGACTCACTTCCTCCATGGGAGGTGGAGACTCTTCAGGAGATGCTACACCTCCTTGTTGCTGCTGCTGTTCCAGCTGTTGCTGTCGTTGCTGTAGTGGTTGCTGCTGTTGCTGCTGCTCTTGCTGTTGCTGTCGCTGCTGTAGCGGCTGCTGAGTCAGCTGCTGTGGCTGCTGCTGCTGCTGGGCTGGCTGCTGCTGCTGGGGTGGCTGCTGCTGCTGCTGGGGTGAATGTTGCTGTTGTTGTGGCTGCTGCTGATCCTCTCGAGCCCTCAGCTTGCGCTTTCGAGGATGTACCTCGGGTGCATCCTCCCCTTCATCATCATGGGTCAAGGCAGCCCTGTGGCTGCTGCGCGTGACTCGCTGACAGCGCTCTTCTTCTCGCCGTCGCTCTTTTTCTTCAACAGCCTGCTCACTAGGAGATCCTTCACTCAGTGACTCCGTTGCATTCACTACATAAGGCAAAGCAGGTTTACTTGAGGAAACCTTGCGCTCCTTGGAGTTGGCACCACCAGCTGGTTCAGCACCTTCAAGGTTACCAGTGCCACTTGAAGGCAGCACTATCTTGAGTGGCGGCACCTTGGGAGAATGTCCATTTCCATAAGAGTCCTGGGTGGAGGGATCACCGTCCATCTCTTGCTCACTGGGCCCACTTTCTGTATCTGAACTTGAATTGTTACCTCGTTTACGAGGGCACTGAGCATCACTATCTGAAGCCCTAGCTTTGTCACCACGTGAAGAACGCCCTTTGCTTGTAGGTGTGAGGGTGCCATTAGTGCTGTCGTTGCTACTCCGCCGACGCTTGCGAAGGGGCTCTTCTGATAGAGCATCTTCGCCGTGTGTGTCTGAAGCTGAGCCATTTAGAGTAGAACTTTCAGCCATTGAAGACAAACCCTGTTCACTACCAGGCAAGGGGCTGCTGGAAGACACTACATCTGTTGCTGTTGAGGTAATAGTTGTGGTGGAAGGCTCCTCTTTTTTACCATTATAGGTATACCCGTCTGCTCGAGCTTCCATATTGGAATAACAGGAAAGGTGTCTGGATGCGACTGAGGAATCGTACACTGAGACAGTGTGATTTGGGAACAACTCCTTATCATCACTTGTCTTAACAGACAGGAAACGCACGGTCAAATGGGCCGAGCCAGGACTGTTTCCCACTGCAAAGAAAAGGTCAGTACTGAAACTACATGTGCAAGCACCTAATGTCACATATAATCCTGAATAATACGTATTTAAAGAAAGGAAATGGTAGCAAGCACATGCATTTGTGTGTTATGAGGGATCAGTTAAAATATCCTTAACATTGAAGTATTATATATACAAACAGCATATGAAGCCTAATTAATTAGCAAGTTCATTAAAAGTACTGAATATACACTGACTATGCATTAGCTGCATGTAATTTTAAGTAAGAACCAGTCAAAAAATATAAAGCTCCAGTGTCTTCCTCACAAAGCACTTTACAATCAGAGTTTAATCATGAAAAAAAAAAAAAACGCTATAGTGAAGTAGTTTTACTTAAAATGCAAGCTTTCAAGGGACATGAAAGTCAAATAACGATTTACGTCAGAGTGAAAGCTCAATGTAAGACATCTAAAACGACAATATTATCAACAACAGTGCCTTACTGAGAAATTAAAGTAAATGCACAAGAACACAAGCGCCACAGTAGGACATTTATAAAATGATCTCGATGACATCAGACGGACAGCTTACAATTAATCACTAGTAATCGATCCAACTACACTAAATAAAAAACCTTCTGCGCATTAAGAGACGCAATAAAATGCTGATTATTCGTTTCTGTTTGATTCGTGGAAAAAAGAACCGCAGGGCGTTACTATGGGAAATGGCGCGAGTAGTTCAAAAATTCAATTTTTGCGTGGTTACACAGGACAGGTGGTGCCGTCTAGCGGGGCGTAGTTGAATAAAAGCGTCTGCAATCTCGAAGCCAATGATGAGAAATTGATCAATGACCATTGTTGCTGCTGTGGCTCCCGCTGCTTTCGGTCGGCTGCTACTAGCATAGTAAAAGCCAGGCAACGTTGGGCATGGAAACAGTGACGTGAGTCGGTCTAGTCGGTAATTTGAAGTGGGCTAACCCGATGCGAAGCACTAAAACGTGATTTTATTTCAAAATAAGCCCTTCCTTGGTACAAAAGTAACACTACGAGGTTTCTGGACCACCATTTCAACAATCAACATCGACTTAATTGACTTTAGTGTCCCTTTCATATATAAACAAAACAGAAGCTGGTGAACACATTTTATGCAGTACCTATTAACTAAACACTCTTATGACTCATGAGTAAGGATGTATGAAAGGTTTAAACGTGTTGACTATAGTTACTTATATCTTTTTTAAGAATGCTTGTAGATTATTGTGCGCAAGGATTACAGCAAATCGAAAGGAAACAAGAAATCATAATAAAAAACAACTGAATTGTGTGGTCTAAGGAAGGCCACTTTCATGAATTACCATTTTCTGTAAGTCCAGAACCCTACTTAATTATCGGTAAGCTTATCACTTTCTTCCTTGATTCCTTCCTGCTTGCAGGTAGCCTACCAAGCAGAGAGTAGGCATCTTATGTGCACACTATTTAGTCAATTCAGGTAGAAATAGTTTGCTATCCATAGAGCAATGGCTACAAGCAAAAGGCACTTTTTTGCAGCATGTGCCAAGACTGTGCAGTTAAAGATATTATGAGGAAGAGCTTTATTCGAGACGAGCTCGAGCTGGCACACACTGATGATGATATCTACAAATGAGGAATTAAACAAATGATGATGACACATCAAATTGATAAAGAATAGTCGGTGACTACGCTCACACTAATTCCCTCTCACGCTGGAAGTGGGCTCCTGGCCGCGCGAAAGATAATATAAAGAATTGCGTCGGGTAGACAGCTTCAGTCGAGAAACGTGCACAATTTCTGTCCCACGACAACGATGGTCGGAGGAAGGGTTAAGTGGTGAGACACGGTAATTAACGGGGGATGTTTGTTCAATGACCATATAAGGTCCTATAAAACGACTGAGGAATTTTCACATAAGCCGGGCACACGCACGGGAGTCCAGAGAAGAACTTCGTCTCCTGGAGAAAAGGTGACAGCATGGTGAGTTGAGTCGTAGCGAGACTTGCGACCTTCCTGAGAGATGTCGGTGTTGATTCGGGCCAGATGACGGCGGTGCTCGAGGCGATACAAAAATTGTGCGGATAAAGGGCCTGCTGAGGTAGCAGGAGCCGAAAGAAAGGAGACGTCCAGAGTTACACTTGGAGAGCGGCCATGAACCAGAAAATAAGGAGAAAAGTCGGTGGTGCGTTGCGTAGGTGTATTGTAGGCGAACGTTACGAATGGCAAAATGGCGTCCCAGTTTGTGTGGTCAGGGTTGACAAACATGGCAATCATGTCCGAGAGGGTACGATGAAAGCGTTCCGTCAAGCCATTTGTTTGTGGATGATAAGTAGAAGTTGTCCTGTGGATGGTGTTGGCGGCGTGTAGAACCTCAGCAACAATAGAGGAAAGAAAGACCTTGCCGCGGTCACTGAGCAGAACATGTGGAGCTCCGCGGCGTAAAAATATGTTACGCAGAAAAAAATCAGATACTTCAGTGAATGTACCAGCGTGCAGCAAGGCTGTTTTTGCGTAACGAGTGAGGTGGTCAACAGCCGTCACAATCCAACGATTTTCATTAGAGGTCATGGAAAGGGGGCCGTACGAGTCTATCCCGACAACTTCGAATGGCAAAGCGGGACAAGGAAGAGGTTGGAGAAAGCCAGAAGGAGCAGTAGCGGGTCGTTTCCGCCGTTGACATAAGGCACACGAAGAAACATATTTGGCAATGGCGGATGAGAGGCCAGGCCAGGTGAACCGAGTGCGTATTTTGTCGTACGTTTTGTAATAGCCAAGATGCCCAGCAGCAGAATCATTATGAAATGTCTCAAGAACCTGATGTTGTAGACAACGCGGTATAACGGGGACCCATTTGTCTCCTTCAACGTAGTAAAGATAGCGATGTAAAACACCATAGTGAAGCATGAATTGTTTCAGTTGTCGACGAAGTCGGGCGTTCGGAGGAGCTGATGTGCCTACTAAGTGTGCTATTATGAAGCGGCAGTAAGGGTCAATACGTTGATGCGACACAAGGGTAGATAGGCGGCCGGATCTTAGCCAACTGAGACCCGCGATGGGTAATGCCACTGTGGAAATTGGTGACGGTGGGCTATCACGGTTGGGTAGAGGGCAGCGAGAGAGAGCATCAGCATCTTGGTGCTTCTTACCAGACCTGTAGACGACATCAAAGTTGTGCTCTTGCAAACGAAGCAACCAGCGGCGAAGACGGCCCGATAAGTTCTTTAGCGACGAAAGCCAGCACAATGCGTTGTGGTCGGTGACGACTGTGAAGTGGTGGCCGTGGTGGTATGGAGGAAATTTTTGTACTGCCCATACAACAGCGCAGCACTCTTGTTCGGTTATTGTGTAATTTTTCTCGGCAGCAGTCAAAGCACGAATGGTGTAAGCGATGACACGTTCGTGTGTGGTGTTGTCACGCTGCAGTTTAACGGCACCGAGACCATGACCACTGGCGTCAGCGTGAAGAATGATGGGTGCACCTGGATCGAAGTGACATAGTACCGGGTCGGATGTCAGGGCTTGCTTCAACGCCAGGAAAGCCTTTTCACAGTCTTCGGACAAGAGGAATGCCGTGTTACTTGCGAGCAGTTGATGGAGCGGAGATGCAAGCCTTGCGAAATCGCGTATGAAGCACCGAAAGTAGAATTCCAAGCCGAGAAAACTGTGCAGGTCTTTTTGACGCAACGGACGGGAAAACTCGAGGACGGCGGCAAGCTTTTCAGGGTCCGGTCGAATACAGTCTTTGCTGACTAAGTGCCCTAGAACCTTGATCGTCTTGCTTGCGAAGGTGCATTTTTTCATATTCAGCTGTAAACCAGCTTTTGCAAGGCAACCTAGGACTTCCGAGACGTTGCAGATGTTGCGAAAAGGTAGACGAAAACAGTATGATGTCATCAAGGTAGCATAAGCAGGTTTTCCACTTCAGGCCACACAGTACGCTATCGATCATACGTTCGAAGGTAGCAGGCGCGTTACAAAGTTCGAAAGGCATTACATTAAATTCATGTAGCCCATCTGGGGTGGCAAAAGCTGTCTTCTCTTTGTCAGATTCGGACACTGGTATTCGCCAGTAGCTTGATCGCAGGTCTAGGCTGGAAAAATACTCTGCGCCATGCAAAGAATATAGTGCGTCAACGATTTGTGGGAGAGGGTAAACACCTTTGCGCGTTATTATTTTCAGTGCCTGGTAATCAATGCAAAAATGTACTGTTCCGTCTTTCTTTTGCACCAAAACAACTGGCGAAGACCATCGACTCGAGGAAAGACGTATGATATTCCGTCGAAGCATGTCTGAGATGTTTTCCTTGATTATCTTCCTTTCAGTAGACACGCAGTATAGGCGCTGGAGAATAATTCAGGAGCCGTCAGTCTGAATTCGGTGAGTCGCAGAAGTCGTCATACCAAGGACAGCAGAATGAACATCAAACAAAGAGCGATGTCTGTTCAATAAATTCAGCAATTCTTGACTCTGGGCTGCTCTCAGATCAGGGCTTATCCTCACGGATAGAGGAGTGGGAGAGTTGAGTGGTGGCGCGCTTTGCTGTGGTAGGTCTCGTCGACTTAAAAGGGATACAATTGCAACGGTATGCGGGTCAATAGCGCATGTCACTGTTGATCCACAGGGCAACAATAAGGGTTCAGGGGTCTGATTTAACGCAGTAATAAAGGCAGAGAAACGAACAAGGCCTGGAATGCCAAGTTCTGAGAAACGAACAAGGCCTGGAATGATCAGAATGCTTCGATGCACCGTGTGCCCATAAAGGAGTAAAAACACGTCGCCATCCACACTGTTGATGCAATTAAAGCTAATTACTTCTTCCCGGGACGGCCAAAGAACATCATCTGAAGTGGTGACGAGACGAATGCGCTCTTCGTGTTCCGATACAGAAGAGCCGGTGGGATTGAGGTGGATGAGGCGCTGACGACAAGATATTGAAGCGCATGCAGACGAGAGGAAATCAGACCCCTAAATGAGTTCGTGGGTGCACTGACAGAGAACTGCAACGGCAATATGATGAATA